GATGCACGAAGATCTGCATGACTCCACATGTGGAGGGGCGTCTCGTCGGTTACGTATTTCCATAGCCATGGAAATCGATGAGCACTCATGGAAATCACCGGTTGAACTTTCTAATGTGATTCGCGAGCGTTGTGTTGGAGTGATATGTACAAACATGTAGTCATACACTATGTTGTATGTGTATGTCAAACACGCCATGTTGTGGTGTCTTGACATTGTGTTATGTTACATTGCTTATGTATGTACAACATGTGACATGTACCAGTGTATTAATAACACATCAGGTGCAGCTGTTTGACCGCTGATGGTCACACACGACGTGGAATCTGCAACGGACAACCCGCCAGCTTCTCGACTAATCACAGTCGCCAAGCTCTTGGGTATGGACCCAGTAGCTGAGCCGCAGTGCTTGTGGATAGCTAAAGAAGCATGCAAGGCGAAAGTAGCCCACAACTGGTTCGTCACGGAATCCTCTGATCATTCCTTTTGTGTATGTAGATCGATCATAACGAGTGGAAAGAGTTCACAGGACAAGACAAATCAACGATGTATTATAATACAGTGACGAGGAAGGTCCAGGAGACCCATCCAATCATCGAGTATTACTCCCAACTATACCACAAACAGAAATCCTACTCTAAAGTAACGAGAAAAGTCCGCTGTCCCAAACGACCATCAACAGCTCCTCGTCAGCTTCTGTCTGAAGGGTTAATGAAGGATGAGGATGAAAGTCGGACGAAATACGCGTGGGAAGAAACTATGATATAAAGGAATGCAAAGGCCATCTACAGGTTCATTCTGAATACTTTGAACGAGCGCATAGCTCTCGAGCTGCCAACTACAACACCCCAAATCTGTGAACAGATCACCCAGCTTCTCGGCATAGAGTCCACCAAAGAGTTCTTCCTGGTTAGTAAGTCCACTTGGTTTCATTCATGGATCAGAACCGACAGGTGCGTTGCATGAAGCAAACGCTCGAAGCTTATGTGGCGAAAAAATATGATCTCTCAACTTTCCTTTCTGATATGCAAGCTCATATAGGCTTCCTCAGACGATTTCGGAAGAATCAAGTAAGCGATCGAGTCGCTGGTGCGAAATGCGAGATATTGTTTTGTACAGATCAAAGATGATATAATGAAGAAGCCCGAATCGGTAGTCATGTGTGAAGAATGCGAGGACAAGAGTGCAGTACTGAAATGTGAGGTCTGCCAGGATTATTATTGTCAAGTAACTACGATTGAACGAAATTGTGGTATTAACCATCGAATCACTCATATCAGGACTGCTTCAATGCAACGCATGCAACAGGCAATAGACGAGGGCACATCACTGCCGATGTGGAGCAACTTGTATGTAAGTTCTGGTTTCGTGTCATACTCCAGCGGGAGCTGGTCCGTAGTGAGGCTGAACGTCACATAGGCTTCAGGTGCGGCATGTGATAAGGTCGTCGCCACCTGCCAGTGCGTCCAATGTGGAAGCTTCTTTTGCGACAACTGCTACGTGTCCACTCATGCATCTCGACCGGAGTTGCATAACCACTTCAAGCGTGTCATCTCTGGCCTCATCTGTCAAGTATGGGAACGTCATTCTTCGTCGTGTTCTCTATCGTGTCTTCAGGAATGTGAGTATCTCAACGCTACAGTCCTGTGTGAAGAGTGCCTCGACTTGTTCTGCACTCAATGCTTCATTAAACTCCACGGCAGAGGGAGACGTAGAAAACACGCCCATCTCAGCATCGACAACACTGGTGAGGCATTTGTTTATCTCCAACACGATGATCCGCACAGTCAGGGAAAGTCTTTCGAGGAGGCACCCTTGTACCCCCAGAGGAAGCCCAAGGGCTGATCGATCGTTGCAGAAGCACTACTGAGGGTGGACCCTGGGTGATGTTCCGAGACGATAACAACGCCCCGTTCTGGTGGACCCTACAAGCACTCGATCGTTCGCGGAACCACTGTCCAACAGGTATCATTTCGGCAGACGGGTTGCGAGCCCGGGAAACCCTTTAACAAGCAAGACTTCTACAGGACAAGCTCAGTCCAGCAAAACCGCTGAATAACAACAGCATAGTCCTGTGGAGGTTATCTCGTCAACGCAGTCGAGCTCAGAGTCACTGCTGATACTGCGGAGTACTTGGTGCATATAAAATACAGCTATTGTGTTCAGTACGCATACCCTTGCTGTGTTACTGGAAAAACCCAAGACGCTGCTCTTTCGTGAGATAGAGGTAATTAAATGACGTACGAACATCCTCGGAATGCTACCCAAATGGGATGACCCAATTACGATTAAACAGTGTTTACCACTCAGGAATCATATAAAATTCAAATTGAGA